AGTAAGCAGGTGACATCCTTTATAATCTCCCGTTACGGGAAGACATTTGAATGTACCACAGTTATATCAATCATTGAATGAAATCAATGCTCCACTCATGTCAAAGGAATCCACTAATATATATCTGGAAGATCTATACTTGAACTTCAAAGTAGGTTAATAATTCGATCATGCATCATTCATGCATATCCAAAAGATTGACCGAGCATCACTATACCCCTACAACCCATGAAACCATGCTATCCAATTAATCTTACATGCTAGTTCATTTTTTTGAAATTATTTATGTCCACTTTAATGATTTTGAACTAGGAACTTAAATAATATATGAATTTTGTTCACCTGTGGGGTTTCATTCACTAGGTCATCAACCTGCTGAGCCCATCAATTCATAATTATTTTGGACATTTTATTTAATTTACAAAACCAAAATTAAATAAGAGAAATGAAATTTCTATTTATAAACATAATTCTGCAAATATATGTGTAGACACCCAAATGTGTCTCCCCAAAACCAAACCTAGTGATGAATACTTTCACGTCATTTGATTATCGAACGAAGTGAAAGTCTGGAAAGTCTAGTGATGAGGATGTTTTTATTAAATTATTTCTCTTTCTGCTTTCAAAAATATTTCTTTTCTTACCCTATTTATGAAAAATATTCAGTCCAATTTAGTTTGGTCCATGATAAGGGTCCAATAATAGTGTAGTTGGATTGGGCTCGCAAAGAGCTTTCCAATGATACAATTAGTATTATGTGCACCATGGTGCACCTAGAAATAGGTGCACCACGAATATACTTTTGAACATTTAGTAAAAAAAAAACTGAACATTTTACAAACAATGAATATTTAGTAAAAAAAAATATAAACACGTTACAAAAATATATTTTATCAGGAAATGTTCATTTGTATACATTAAATGTTCAGTTTATATTACAAAAATATTGAATTATTACGAGTCAGTTCAAAATTTGTCTAACTTGTAATAATTCAAAATTTACAATTGTTCATATTTTTTTACTAAACGGTTAAAATGTGTTATTGTTCATATTTTCTTACTAAAAGTTCAAAATTATAGGCATGGTGCATTGCAATTGTTCAGATTTTTTTTACTAAATGTTTAAAATTTGAAATGTTCAGATTTTTTAACTAAATGTTCAAAATTCTCGATTGTTCAGATGTTTTTACTAAATGTTCAAAAGTATAGGCATGATGCATTGCAATTGTTCAGATTTTTTAACTAAATGTTCAAAATTTGCGATGTTCAGATGTTTTTACTACGTGCTCCAAATTTGCAATTGTTCAGATTTTTTTTTACTAATTGTTCAAAAGTATAGGCGTGGTGCACCTATTTCTAGGTGCACCATGGTGCATCTTAAAATTTTCCCCAATGATATATTATAAGTCCAATTCCGTTGAATTATGAGGAAGTTATGGATTAAATTAAATTAGGCCCAACGATTTTAATGGTGGCCAAATGATCTAGAGGAGGGCCTATTAATTATTATTCCTTAGGTAATTAGGATTAATATAGTCTTCTAGGAATATCTAGAAGGTTATTTTTAATTCTAATAAGATTAGGATTGATAATTATATTTTTAAAAGATGTTTTATTTTGAATAAAATATATCAAATCTGATTTTAAATCTGATTAGACGCAGAATTACCTGTAACCGGTTTTGTAGACACCCAAATGTGTCTCCTCAAAACCAAACCAAGTGATGAATACCTTTCATGTCGAATCATAATCGAATGAAGTGAAAGTGTGGAAAGTCTAGTGTTGCGGTTAGTTTTTATTAAAATTCTCTTCTTTCTGTTTTTGAAAACCAATTTTATTTTATGAAAATAGCCAAATCCAGTTTAGTTTGGTCCATAACAAGGGTTCCAATAATAGTGTAGTTGGATTGGGCTCGAAAAGAGCTTTCCAACGATATATTATAAACCTAATTCCGATGAGTAATGAGGAAGTTATGGCCAAATTACTAAACTAGGCCCGATTTGATCTTTATGTGCGGCCTAATGATCTAGAGAAGGGCATATTATGAATTATCATTCCTAATGCAATTAGGATTTATTATAGTCTTCTAGAATCTTCTAGAAGGTTCTTTTGAATCCTAATGTGATAAGGATTGATAATTAAGTTTTATGAGTTTTATTTGGAATAAAAGAAGTGTTTTAAATGAATTCACGATTTACCCCTCATACGGACTTTTACACTTAATTTTATCAAAAAAATAGAAAACGTGTGGAAAATCACCTACAGTGCCGCACGCCAGGCTGTCGCTCGGCGACAGAGGCAGTTGCGGCGACATCGACGTGTTTTATCCTTCTTAGAACTCCGATTCTTTTTTATCTAGTCCGGACTATTTTCATTTTAAATAGGGTCTTTAAACCTCCGTTTTTAATGACCAAATATCATCAAGAAAATCATGATATTCTAGCACTCTCTCTCTCTTTCTAAACTAACCTTTTTACAAACACAAAATTCCGCATTCACAAGATCTAGACACACCTAGCCAAATTCGAAGTTGTCTTCGCCCTAGACGTGAAAGGTTTGATATTTCTGAGGGTATAGTCCCAAATCTCTATTTCAATTATTTGATTTAATTATTTAATTTTATTATTTTCCTTGAAGTTACTAACGTTTGTATTTTGTTATTAGAAAGAGATACGAGGCATCCAAGTAAGTACTTTAATTGTTTAATTGATATTATGATATATAAATCATGCTTAGATTATTTTATTGATTCCTAGTATCATGTTAGGGTGTTTTGATCTTCCTAGTATCATGTTTAGGGTAACAACTAATTTTTTTTAATATCAAGTATGATTAAAAGAATGCTTTCTATTTCTTTTCTTAATATCATGTTAGTATCATGTTAGGGTTAAAGCTTTGATCTTTAATGTTTAGTGACATGCTAGGGTTTGTTATTAATCTTGTTAATATCATGCCTAGAATCTTGCTATTATTATGCTTTATTTTTAACATGAACATTATGATTATGATTGTTATTATTATTATAATTTGTTAATATCATGTTGCTTGATTATATATATTGTTATTGCTTGATCACACCTTTTCTACATGTTTAAAGGGAATTTGTACTTATAATCACGCTTAATAAGATAATTAATAATCTTGTTTAGGGTTAATTTGATTATAATTCAAGTGATCGCCAATAATAGATTTATTTGTGCATTAATATTCAACCAACATAGATAAACAGGTTTAAGATTAACTTATTGATTGCATGTTAGTCAGAAAGTGCACATGAATACGAGAAGAATAATGTAGAGGCCTATTATTAGGGCAGGTTCTTTCTCTTTTAGATTGGATTTGTACCTTCATCCCCGAACTTCCAGTCATGGTTCCAGACCTATTGGAGTTAACGATCTCATGGATTGTTAAGGGGTGTAACCTTCACCTTGTGAATGGTTTACAAGTTCCTAAAACTTGTTGGCGACTCTTTTTCTCTAGCTTCCTTCCCTTTGGACGCCAACATACTTAAGTGTATGATCACAGTGGGGTTGAAGTTTGGGGTAATGCTTGAAATATTCCCTACAGTTAACATCAAAGGTTATTGTTAATAAAAATTAGTGAGGTTGAGGGCACAGATTAGAAGATTGAAAAAGCACGGGCACAACTTAGAAACCGAAGAAGCACTAGTAGAAAAAACGAAAAAGGCACCGGTTCAAACCCAATATATGCCACCGGTTTGAACCGCTGAATATGTGGGGGAAGCCAATTCCTCCCACATATGCCACCGATTCAAAACTGGTGGGATAAATGAGTTTTGGCACCGGTTAACTGGTGCCATTAACTATTTTGGCCTCCGGTTAACCGGTGCCATTAAGTATTTTGGCGACCGGTTAACTGGTTTCAAAAATAAATTCCCGCGGTTTTTTTTTGTAGGCACTTTTTAGAACCGGTTAACCGGTGCCATTTTATTTAATTATTATTTTTTTTCCTGTTTTGTTGCAATAATATAAAAAAAAACCCTGTAATTCCAGCAATAATAACCTGATTTTCAGGCCTGTAATTCCAGCAATAATATCAACAAAAATAATAATAATAATAATAATACTCCCTCCGTTAATAGTTATGTGCAACTTTGCACATGATTACGGTTACCAAAGCAAAAGATGGAGGGCAAAGATTAGAGGGAGTTAAGGGATTTAATTAAAGTGAGTGGAGAGATAAAGCTGGTCCCCCCCACTTGCAAATATGGAGGGGAAATCAGATTTTTTTGGAGGGGTTTCTTTTTCCCCCCAAAATTTCACAAAAATTTTAAATTTGGGAAATTTAAAATTCCCTCTAACTTAAAAAAAAAAAAAAAAAAAAAAAAAAAAAGAAGCTAAACTACCAAGTTTTCTAATTTCATATCAGCATTTATGAGGCTTATAAATAGCAGCCTCCATCATTCATGAAGCATTGAATGCTTCTCAAAAATTACATAACAATGTTTGTTCAAAAGCTAGATCAAATCCACCAAAAGTTAGCACTAATTACATACATTTAGCCCATATACAACCCAAAAAATTACTCCTAATCTAAAATTAGTGCTAAACTGAAGTTAGTCTTCAAATCATCAAGGCATCAGCTTGAGGGCAGCATCATCTCATCAAAAACCTTCATTAGCCCACCCCCCTTCACCATCTACAACAATCTACAAGTGAACAAAAGAAACAGAAGACATGGCAGCAATAGATGAAGACCCTTTTTTCGACGTTGAACACTTAATTTCAGAGGAAGAAATTGTAGAGTTGTACTATGATTATGAAGAGCAGATGCAAGATGCAGATTTTGAAGCATACAACTCAGACAATGAGAACATGCAAGAAGAGGCAGAAATAGAAGACACAACCATTAACAACAACAATCAAACTCAACAAGATGAAACATAAGCATCGTTGTTTGAAGAAGGGACTCACCAACCAAACAGAAAACAGCTTAACATACATCAAAAGAGAGAGATTGTGGATGCAATGCTATTGAAAATGCAAGATGGTAACCTACCAAGAGGCTACAAGGTGGAATTATCAATTAAGTTTAAGGTTCATGAATCAACAATCACAAGACTTTTCAATGAAATAAAAAGACAGATGGCAGAAGGGAATTTGATTGATGTCAGGTCCAAAAAGATAGGCAGGACAGGTCCAAAGCTAATGGAATTTTCTGATGAATTCCTACAGTCAGTCCCACTGCACTTAAGGCAGACAGAAAGATCATATGCTACTGCACTCAACATTTCACATGTTACTCTTCATTATTTGAAGAAAAAGGGGAGAATCAGAACACACACAACAAGCAGCAAGCCAGTACTAACATCAGATCACAAGGTGGCAAGAATGAAGTGGGTTTTGTCTCACATAAACCCAATCCAAGGGAATGAGAACCCCACATTTGATGACATGAAGTATTTCATCCACATTGATGAGAAATGGTTTTATCTAAACCTAGATAAAAGGAGATTTTATCTGTTACTAAGTGAGGAAGATCCCTATATGGCTCAACAATCAAGGAGGTTCAAATTAAAAGCTATGTTCATGGCCATTATAGGGAAGCCTCTTTATGGGAGAAATGGGGAACTCCTACATGATGGGAAATATGGGATATTCCCATTCACAAAGCAAGAAAGGGCAAAGAAGTCAAGCAAAAACAGACCAGCTGGCACAATGGTCACAAAAGCACTTCAAAATGTCAATAGAGATGCAATAAGAGATATGTTACTTAACAAAGTCATACCAGCAATAGTGTCAAAATGGCCAGCAAGTTTGCCCAAAAATGTGGTGATTCAGTGGGATAATGCAAGCCCACATCAAATACCAAGAGATGAAGAGTTCATTGCAGCAACACAAGCAAATGGATTTAACATTGAGGTTGTGTTCCAACCAGCACAATCACCAGATTTGAATGTGTTAGACTTAGGTCTGTTTAGATCTATTCAATCTTTGCAATATCAATCTTTTCCAAAGAATGTAGATGAGCTTGTTGAAAAGGTCATTGAGTCTTATAACAATTTCAAACCAGAAGTAAACAAGTACATTTGGGTGACATTACAAAGATGCATGATCAAGATTCTAAAGGCAGAAGGAGGGAACAAGTACAAAATCCCACATATGAACAAGAAAAAGCCGGAGAATTTAGGCATTCTCCCAAATCAGATTGAAGTGGACAGGAGTATAGTGGTGGAAGCTGTGGAATACCTGAACACAATGTTCAGTCCAACACCCCAGGGAAATCATGAAGTAGAAACAGAAGACATGGAGGTAGATGCAGACTAGTTACAAAGACACACAACCAACAACCAAACACTGCCACACATAACCACTTAGGAGTGAACAATGATATGTTAAATTTCACTTTTGTTTAGTTATTTTTTGGAACCAATCAATAGATGGTTAGGTGTATTTTGTATGCTAGGTTATTGAAACACATGAAAGGCAGTGGTGGTTTAGTTCTAGTGCATTTGTAACAGGCTTTTTGTAGCCATATTTTCAAGTTAATGGGAGTACTTAATCACATGAATCCATCAGGAGATCAATTTTTTTTTACACACAACCTTTCAAACATGGTTACCTCAACATCAATCACAATATAGTGATTGGTGGAGCTATACCTTTGTTCAAATAGTATTTCATAGGAGTCCTTTCATCATTTGGATTCAATTACAACACTATAGTGTAGAGCCAATGGGGACTGTACAATAACAACAAAAAGGGGCATGTGAAGGGAACTCCATCACAAAATGTTCTCTACACTATGATCATTGAGAACATTTTTCACACAACAACCCAAACACCCAACTCAAGAAACCATCATAAAGGATCATCATTCAACAAGCAAATTCCCATATGCCATAATCCATGATTACAACATTAACCAATCATTATCCAACTCATAAAATGCATCAACAAACCATCAAACATCCAAAAGCAATTTATCCAACACAGAAGGCAACCAAACCCGAAAGCAATCCCAGTCCTCACCAACATCCAACATAATATCCAACATAAAAAGGATAGAAGCACCAAAACCATGTAGAACATAATATCTAACATAAAAAGGACAGAAGCACCAAAACCATATCCAACATAATATCCAACATAAACAGGACAAAATCAGCAACACCACATACAACATTAGAACCGAACAGAGCCACCATAACATAATAAAATCCATGTGCATAACAGAACCACCATAAACAATTCATGTCACAAGCATACACAATCAACTTAAAAAAGGGACTCAGTAACAAAAATTAAACAAGTTAGGGCTAGGAAGCGTTATGAGTGCAGCTACTCAGAGGGTTGAACCGTAGGGTTCATCCGCCTCATATAGCACGTCATAACAGGAACAGAACAAGAGGGCACTTCTGGTTTCTTGGCTGGAGATTCCTCATCAGGCTCCTCATCAGAAGACAACACAATCAACTCGTGGTCAGGGAGGCCACGCATCCTTCTCATAACAAAACGCGCGGCCTTCCTAGTAGCCTTAAATCTTGGGGGTGGCCTTTCCCTCTTAGATCTAGGCTTAGTGGGCACAACAACACTTCCCTCACCTTGCTCAGCAACCAGATCTACAGCCATCTCAGAGAAATCAAGCGATTTACGACGGGACTCACCTTCACCTCCTCCTTCTTCGCTCTTTCTTCCTCATCAATGCTTTTGAGGACTTGACCAAGGGCTCTGTAAGTGTACAGAGTACAGTAGGGACCCGTATCACTGGACTCGTAAAATTGACGAGGAAAAGGAGATCCAACCTCGAAGAAGTGCATGAGGTTTAAGATCAAATTCTCCTCTCCCTTGTCATCTGTAGCCATATATGCATCCTTTAAAGGATCTAAGTTCACCATTTTTATGGAGGGACTTTGATTGAGAAAGAAAAGAGAAGAGGAGAGTAGATCTGCAGTGAACAAATGAGAAAATCGCAAGAACAAAGGAGAGAGAATAACCCAGAAGATGAACTAGGGTTCATCTTATGCTCCAGAACTTTTAGGGAGAACGAATCATCAGAAATTAATTTTGGTAGTTGGGAATGTGAGTAAATGAAGAGAGGGGGGGGAATTGGAAGATAAAAGGAGGGAATAATTAGATTAGGTGAATCTGATTAGTTTAGGTTAAATTAGATTAGGTTATAACAAGGGTATTGATTAAAAAACAAATCTACTTAAGGGCAAAATTGTAATTTTGCCCTTTTTACTAAAAATAGAAAGAAAATGGAAAGTTGCACATAACCCCGAGCGGACAAAAATGGAAAAAGTTACACATAACTATTAACGGAGGTAGTAGTAGTAGTAGTAATAATAATAATAATAATAATAATAATAATAATAATTATTATTATTATTATTATTATTATTATTATTATTATTATTATTATTATTATTATTATTATTATTACCAATAATAATAAGGAAAAATACACTTTATTAATCCCAACTTTCACCCGTTTACTTTAATTAATCCCAACTTTGGAATATTCTCAGTAATACCAACTTTAAGGTGGGTTATCTTTCTTTGACCCAAAAAACTAGTAACCTGCTGAGTAAGTGAATGTAGAGTCAACAAACCTACATATTGACTTTTAAGTCCAATTACCTCCTTAAATGATGTCCATTATGCATCTTGTCCCAACCACTTCCCCTGCCAAAAATTAAATCCCGCCATTAATAATTTTCTCTGATCATTCTTCAGTTTCCCCCTAATTACGACCCATTATACTACTGTCAGATTACCAAAATCGCAGAGGGAAGAAGGAATTGCGTTCTAGGGTTTCCATTTGACGAAAGGAATAACTCAGTTGATGAAAGCAAAGTAGAAGACGCTTGGAGCAAACGGAGGTAACCCTTAAGCCGTGTTTTATTTGACATTTTTTTTTGTTGATCATCAATTAAACTCACGACATATAATTATGGTTTTGAGGTGTGTGAATTCATGTTTAAGAAAAGAAATTGCAATAAAAATCAAATCTTGAAATTAGGGTTTGTTTAATTTGAAATTTGCTGCTGTTTCCAAATGTGTTTTGGTTGAATGTTTGTTTGATGTTGCGTTTTATGTAGTTGTAGTGTAATAGTGTATGATTGTTTCCAAATTGAAGTTTGGTACTGCAATTGTTTGTTGTAGGTTGAACATGGATAGTTTTTTTTGGTAAGATCGGGTTGATGTTTTGGCATTCTGGATCTTTTAGTTAAGGTCTAATGGTGAATTGGTGTATGTGGGAGGGAAAGGTAAAACAAAGCAGGTTGACCCAGATGAGTTATGTTTATGGGACATTTTACAGATAGGGACTGACTGTTGTGAAGGGAAATTTGTGGAATGTGTGTTGTATTTGATTCTTGGACTAAGTCTGAGTAATGGTTTGAGGAGGATTAGTGGTGATGAAGATGTGAGGGAGGTAATTGAAATAGGGAAAAAAATATAGAAATGTGGAGTTGTATGTACACCATGGTGTTGAGTTACCACTGCTAGACCCCATAGACCCACCTGTTGTCCAAAGATATTTTCAAGTCTTACCTCAAGAAGAGGAATCTGATGAGTGTGATTCCTCCAAACCCAAAACTCAGAAAAAAAAAAACAAAAAGGGGACCACCTAAAGGTAGTTTGACTCTAAGTCCAAAACAAAAAGCTCCCACCCCCTCACATATAATAGGTAAAGCTATTCCCACACTGAAGAAAAAAAAATTTCTAGCTCACCTAAAGTTAAATTTGTTTCTAAGTCAGCCAATCTCTATACCTCCACTACTTGTAATCCAGATCAGGGTTTAGAGAACCCTCTTCCTTCTCAACTTTCATTCCAAACAGAACCCCCAGTATATGAAGATTACAATTGGGTAGATGACATACCTGATTCTCCAATTCCCTTAAATGAGTTATTAGGAGGTTACACTGATAGTGGTGAGGACATAGACCCTCCTTATGACCCTAGGACTAACAAAGGTAAGGGAGTTGCAGTAGCTGATGAGGGGAGGGTGTTTAGTGATGTGTACACTGATGAGGACAGTGATGAAGAAAGTTATGATGAAGTGAATCCTGGTGCTACAGCTGCAGAAGAGTTGGATGTAGGCTTGGAGCAGTTAGATCCAGAGCTTGAGAAAGAATATGATGCAATATTTAATGAGACATTACAGACAGATTCTGATGTGAGTGATGAGGAGTACAACACAGCTAGGAAGAGGGTTAAGGCTTGTAGTACACAGTTAGTTCAGGTTGCTTCTAAAGTTATACATAAAGTAGCTGAGGGGAAATTAGATGTTCAAGATCCAGTGGTTGAAGGTGAAAATTTGAGTGAATATGAGGATAGTGATGAGGACATTCATACACCACCTGAGAGTGAAGAAGAGGGAGGTGTTGGTTTGAGGAAGAAAAGATTTGCACTGCTTGTAAGTCTAAATTCTGATTTCAGTCAATTCAAGTGGAAAGTTGGTTTAAGATTTGCTAAAAGAGAAGATTTTAGGGAGGCAGTGGCCAAATATGTTGTTCTACAGGGAAAGAACCTAACTTTTGTTGTTAGGAACAAGAAGAGACACCAGAGGTTAGGAGTGAAATGCATTAGAGGGTGTCCTTTCTATGTTTATGCATCTTGGCATTCAAGAAAGACAACCATGATTTTAAAGAGGGTTACTGGAGAGTATACCTGCTAGAGGAACATGAAGAAGAATAGGCAGTTGAAAGCTACTTGGGTTGCCAAACAATTCCTAGAAGTATTCAAAAGCAGACACATTGGCCTGCAAAGGAAATAGTGGAGTGCATTAAAAGAGCTTCCAAGATCATTGTCAACAGAGTCTTTGCTTATAAAGTGAAATATGCTGCCCACACTCTCCTCCATGGTTCCATGCATGAGCACTACCAAAAAGTAGGAGCTTATCTTGCATCTTTGAAGACTAGCAGCCCTAGAAGTGCAACTGAGCTTGTTACTGTACAATAGAAGAAAGGTCCACCTGTGTTTCAAAGGTTGTTTATGTGCTTTTAGGGTCTGTCTAAGGGATGGAAAGATGGGTGTAGGAAAGTGTTGGCTGTTGATGCAAGCTTCCTTAAGACTTTTCTAGGGGGTCAATTGCTTTGTGCTGTAGAAATGGATGCCAATGACAAAATGTTCCCAGTGGCATGGGCAATTGCTTAGGGGGAGAATAATTTGAGTTGGGAGTGGTATTTTGTTCATCTATAGAAAGTGTTAGAGTTAAGTGATGGTGATGGTGTTGCAATCCTCTCTGATGAGCATCAGGTATGATTTTAACTCACTGCTTACACATATTTAAATGTTGATTTGGCTTAGTGCTTACTAG